AATTAAAAATTCTCTTTTACGAACTTCCTGGAGTTCTATGACGGTCACAGACGTAAAACACGAAAGACAGGACTAGATGAACTGCTTCTTCTTGGACTATAACAAAGTATTTGATCAAGTTAAGAGTCAAGCCAGGAGTTCAGACTCGACCCTGAATTACACAAAAAGGTAAGCGCGCGCGCACACACACACACACACACACACACACACACACACACACACACACACACACACACACACACACACACACACACACACACACACACACACACACACAGTCTTCCACTCTCATGTCATCAACAGGATTGCTGAACATTGATTCAAGGTATTCTTCAAGGGTTTCACTTATTTCTGTGGTCATCAGTGCATGAACCTTCCCAGGCGAGACAGTCAATACAAGAGGTTGTTAACTACATCTTGCATAAGTGAAGAATGTTTTGGATATTTCCCCAGGTATCCCGGGCGACTTAGTGCTCATTTTGTTTCTCGTGTCTAGTATGACTAGACTCTTCTACAGTATATAGGCGTCAGCAATGATATATAAGACATCCGGTATTCTAATTGTAAAAAAGTGTATTTTTTAGTTAATATATTTTAACTTTAGTGGTAAGCATTAAAAAGTTCGAAAAATCGTATTCTCAATAAGTTTCAAATAGAAGCGGGTAATGGCTCGTTGTAATTTTTCTTTTGTTTATTGTAATATCTGCTGTCTTCTGAGTAGCAGCAACTATTTTGCTTCTCCGATAAAGTCTTCTACTTTGTAGCTTTGTGTCTGATCTACTTTTAATCCGTATCACCTTGTATGCTTCTACACTCAACCTCTATGTGAAATGATTATGTTTAAGATTGTTTAGCTGAGTTTTCCCAAGAAATATTTGAGAGAATCTAGTTAAGCCCCAATTTATTCTGTGACTGTTCAAGTGTACTAAGCCTTCCTTCTTGTTGGGTACTTAGTTTCTCAGTATTACTCTGTACTTCCAGCTTGTTGCTGTGTACTGTTTGTGAGATCATTGTTCTAATAAGGGCAAGGCTAATAAATTAGGGTTAGGGTTGAGCAAGGCATTGAAGAGCAGGGGCGGGTAGGCAAGGTAGGGGAGGGTGGGGGCTTGGTGAGGCAGAGAAGGGTGGGGCTGGGAGAGGCAGGGCCGGGTGGGGTGGGACTAGGTGAGGCAGGAAAGGGTAGGGTGGGGCAGGTGAGGAAGGGCAGGGCACAGCATCGATCGCCACCCTCGCCTGTTAACTTATTTGCTACGAAGATAATCTAAGAGGATAATGAGTAAACATAACCACTGTAACACCTAGTGGTTCTGTTTAGTGGTGGTCGCTGTTTACAGTGGTACCCTCTTAGTGGTCGCTGTTTACAGTGGTACCCTCTGCTTAGTGGTCGCTGTTTACAGCGGTACCCTCTGCTTAGTGGTCGCTGTTTACAGCGGTACCCTCTGCTTAGTGGTAGTCGCTGTTTACAGTGGTACCCTGTTTAGTGGTCTCTGTTTACAGTGATACCCTGTTTAGTGATGGTCACTGTTTACAGTGGTACCCTATGTTTAGAGGGGGTCGCTGTTTACAGTGATACCCTCTTTAGTGATGGTCGCTGTTTACAGTGGTACCCTGTTTAGTGGTGGTCACTGTTTACAGTGGTACCCTCTGTTTAGTGATGGTCACTGTTTACAGTGGTACCCTCTGTTTAGTGATGGTCGCTGTTTACAGTGGTACCCTATGTTTAGAGGGGGTCGCTGTTTACAGTAGTACCCTCTTTAGTGGTCGCTGTTTACAGTGATACCCTCTTTAGTGATGGTCGCTGTTTACAGTGGTACCCTCTTTAGTGGTGGTCGCTGTTTACAGTAGTACCCTCTTTAGTGATGGTCGCTGTTTACAGTGGTACCCTCTTTAGTGATGGTCGCTGTTTACAGTAGTACCCTCTTTAGTGGTGGTCGCTGTTTACAGTAGTGCCCTCTTTAGTGATGGTCGCTGTTTACAGTAGTACCCTCTTTAGTGATGGTCGCTGTTTACAGTGGTACCCTCTTTAGTGATGGTCGCTGTTTACAGTAGTACCCTCTTTAGTGGTGGTCGCTGTTTACAGTAGTACCCTCTTTAGTGATGGTCGCTGTTTACAGTGGTACCCTCTTTAGTGATGGTCGCTGTTTACAGTAGTACCCTCTTTAGTGGTGGTCGCTGTTTACAGTAGTACCCTCTTTAGTGATGGTCGCTGTTTACAGTGGTACCCTCTTTAGTGATGGTCGCTGTTTACAGTAGTACCCTCTTTACTGGTGGTCTCTGTTTACAGTAGTACCCTCTTTAGTGATGGTCGCTGTTTACAGTGATACCCTGTTTAGTGGTCACTGTTTACAGTGGTACCCTCTGTTTAGTGATGGTCGCTGTTTACAGTGGTACCCTATGTTTGGAGGGGGGTCGCTGTTTACAGTAGTACCCTCTTTAGTGGTCGCTGTTTACAGTGATACCCTCTTTAGTGATGGTCGCTGTTTACAGTGGTACCCTATGTTTAGAGTGGGTCGCTGTTTACAGTAGTACCCTCTTTAGTGGTGGTCGCTGTTTACAGTAGTACCCTCTTTAGTGATGGTCGCTGTTTACAGTAGTACCCTCTTTAGTGGTGGTCGCTGTTTACAGTAGTACCCTCTTTAGTGATGGTCGCTGTTTACAGTGGTACCCTCTTTAGTGATGGTCGCTGTTTACAGTGGTACCCTCTTTAGTGATGGTCGCTGTTTACAGTGGTACCCTCTTTAGTGATGGTCGCTGTTTACAGTAGTACCCTCTTTAGTGGTGGTCGCTGTTTACAGTAGTACCCTCTTTAGTGATGGTCGCTGTTTACAGTGGTACCCTCTTTAGTGATGGTCGCTGTTTACAGTAGTACCCTCTTTATTGGTGGTCTCTGTTTACAGTAGTACCCTCTTTAGTGATGGTCGCTGTTTACAGTGCTCTTATGAAGACTAATGGACTGAACACATCGACTCCAGGTTGAGAGACTGTTTACCTCAAACTGCTCATCTTCCAGCGTTCTCAGTGTTAGACTGAGGAAGTCACTAACTAGCGAAAAGTTTCCAGAATAAAGATGCTCAATTCTTGCCCAAGTGTCTTAATTATCAGCTTGTCGGTTTTCTGAATCATTCATAGAAAAAGGAAACCTGGTCTCAGACCGGGCTGGGAGGAAGAAAACGGGAAGCCGGCCACAGATATGGGCATTTTCCACTTCTGGTACCTGTTTTACAGTAATAATAATAATAATAATAATAATAATAATAATAATAATAATAATAACTCAATTTCTACAAGTACAGATACAACTTATACAGACCTTAGCTGACATGCAGAACATTTCCGGAAAATTAGATTAATACACAAATAACCCTCAACCCAGGATGCGACTCGCACCAGTCGACTAACACCCAGGTACCTATTTACTGCTAGTTGAACAGGGACGGCCAGGTGTCTTAAGGAAACACGCCCTGATGTTTCCACCTGTACCGGGGGATCGAACCACAGACCTCAATGTGTGAGTTGAGTGCGCTACCAACACCCCAACGGGACACCCCAACAGTTCCTTGAAAGGAATTGTAAACAATGAACAGGATTCTAGACGTGAGAGCGCAAGAACTCTTGGGCAAGACTTTTCTTGTTTTTAAAGATCTTGTAAACCAAACTGAAGTCTACCTTGGATTTTAAGCGTTTGAAATTTCTTAAATTGGCTTGTAACACACAAATGAAATGTTGATAAATCCATATATATACTCCTGTAAATCCTTTTGAGGCATAGTTCCTAGGCCTTTTATGTATCCATATGCCACTGTGCGGCCATCTACAGGACGGATATGAGGTACACAAACTAGCCATTACCATCTATACGATGAATACGAGGTACACAATAAACTAGCCACCACCATCCACAGGATGGATATGGTGTGCACAATAAACCAGCCACTTCAGCGGCAAAATCTAATCTTACTACGCTTAATTATTCGTAAACTCGAAGCCTGGTCTCAGACTGGGCCGCGGGGGCGTTGACCCCCGGAACCCTCTCCAGGTATACTCCAGATGTGTGTTTTTTTTTTTGTCCTATGAGATGATCTGCCTGCGTTCTGTATTTTGTGCTTGTTTTGCCACGTCTTTCATTAAGAAACACAATCAAATGCAGTAATGGCAAGGAAAATAAGAGGGCGGATTATGAGAATATTAGAAACAAGAGAAGCAACGCCAATGATGGCAGTGCTCATATCAATGGTACTCTCACGACTTTATTGTTCTCCTGCGTTCCATTCAAGGCAGGAGAGACAACAGATCTGGAAAATGCACAGCAGTCGTTTACAAACCGTATATAATCAGTAAAACAAATATTCAAAATGCCTTAAAAGCGCTTGGATTGTTCTCTCATGCAGATACTCGTCCGGTTCCCAATTTGAATCAGTCACCCTCGAAGACATAGTTTTGAGGTGGTCAGTCCCTCAGCCTGGAGGAAAGCTCTGTTCCATAGTCTGGAACAATGTGAAGCTAAAGTAACAGAATGGAGACTTACATACTGTCAAAGGTGACGCGAATATAATCCTGACGACAGACTGACCACCTCGTAACATGTTCAAGGGTGATGGACTGATTGCATCGTCTTTACATCTCTACTCCTTCCGCTGCCTTCTCTGTATTCGACTGAAGAAGCCTACACAGTAGGCAAAAGATACCTAACTGTTGCACATGTATCTTACTTATCAACGGTCAAGACTCTTCTACCTGTCACCAGCAGGAATCACAAATACACAAGAAACGAAGGCAAAAGTTTTCAAGATGAAACCGGGCCATCTTCTGCAAATTCCCGATGAGCTGGGTTTTGATGGCTACGAGGGCCTGTGGGCCGCTAACACAAATAGCCTAGTTGTATTGAGACCAGACTACAAGGGTAGAGGAACCCTGGAAACAATTACAGGTATTTCACATGTTCATTCGTACCCTGCATAAGCCGTTGTACTATGTCATGATTGAACATTAAGTTATATTACTTTGCCCACTGGAAGACTTTGTCTATCTGTAATTTGTGTCTTCCACAGTGTCTTTCACCGTGTCTTCTACCATGTCTTCAACTGTGTTCATTGTCTTCTACCATGTCTTCAACTGTGTTCATTGTCTTCCACCATGTCTTCAATTGTGTCTTCCACTATGTCTTCTACCGTGTGTTGCAGCATGTCTTGCACTGTGTTTGACTGGGCGACCTGCATGCTCCCTGGTCTCTCCCCACATTCAGCTGGGACCTGCAGATCATAAAACATTCTAAGAGGTAACCGGTGTAGTGAGTCAGCTGTGACCCTAACATGTGTACCACACACACACACACACACCTCTGCCCATAATACATACACACATACACATTCATCCATAATGCACACACACATACACGTTCATCCATAATACACATACACGTTCATCCATAAAACACATACACGTTCATCCATAATACACACACATACGTGTGCACTTATAAAACACATGCATGCACCCATAATACTCGCCACACACACACACACACACACCGTTCTTTCCTACGCCGATTAATTTAGTGTTTTTTTTTTCTTTTTAATTGGTGAGGGGAAACTAAAGCCACAGCTGGTAACTGTGACTGACTGTGACTGGCTGTGATCGACTGACTGACCGACTGTGCGGCACATTCATCAAAACTAGCGAGGGGACGACAGACAAACGCTGGTTCCTCATTGGTGAACGCGTTACACATTAGCCACAACCTGCGTGAATCCAGGGAGACAAAGCAGGTGTGTGATTGGTAGAAAAGTAGGGCGCAACCAGAGCCCCTGAGGCTCCCTAGATACAAAGTTCCACTGACCACAAACAAAAGTTTCATGCAGGTCCCACGCCACAACTCACTTGTTTCTAATCCACCACGAACGGCCTGACTGATTTCTGATTGGCTAGTTCGGATAGACTGCTAGGAAAGATAGCTGGGTTGCTTACTTGCTGGGTGTCTGGCTGGCTGGCTAGCTGCCTGGCTGCCTAGCTGGCTGACTAGCTTGTTGGCTGGCTGCCTGTCTTGCGAGTTATCTGGTTGGGTAGCTGTCTGGCTGGTTGGTTGGTTTCCTGGCTGGTTCTCTGGCTGGTTTTCTGGCTAGCTGGCTGCCTGTCTAGTTATCTGGCTGGCTGCCTGGCTAGGACCGCACTTCACTGAGACCCGTCACGCTATCCTGTGAAAAAGAAAATGGTGTTAGCACACGCAACAATAAATAGGACAAAGTAATGTGATCACTAAATTGAAGGGAAACTAGAGTATTCCGATGCGAGTTAGTGAAGAGTATTGCTGAAATTTGGGTTAGAGTAGGAGGTCGTTAAGGGACATTCAGCCATTCACAGAGCACTGTCACGCGCACACAAGTCATCTTGCACGCTAGTCTCTGCCCCTCTTTCCTCAAACAAAAGGCTATGTCATTTTCCATAATATAAGACTGCAGGTATCAAGATGTTTCCCGGCCGACTGTCTACCTGTTTCTCCGGTGATGGTTCCAGGATGATCACGTGTGTTAAGCCTGACCTGACCTGATCCAAGGTTACCTCAATAAAACTTATTTTTCATCCATAAAAATGCAAAATGTGACTAGCACAACCGTGTAGAACGCCTGGGTACATTATTTTGATGTCTGACTACCATGAAGCGAAACGTCTTCAAAAATAAAGATACCCAGGTGATACACATATGACTTAAGTCATCGTTACTATATATCAGTAATGCATTGGTAACAGAGTCTAGCCTAAAGGAAACCTACCCTGCACAAAATAAAACTAGAAATCGTATCTTAACTCACTTCATATCCCAGAATATAATTTTCAACAAGCGCAGGTGAAAGATGCATCGGAATTTACACCTGGAAAATACTGAGAGTGGGGTACAAATACCTACACTGGGCAGATAATAATGTAAGCTGGCAAACAGTATTTCAAAGACTCGTTAAGCTAGTGAAACCTTACATAAAGAAGACACATATACAGCGTATGAGGAACGTTTATTTAGGATAAGTTTCGCCTACCAGGAGCTTTCTCAATGAAGTACCGTAGCTCGGTTATTAGAGCACTCAGCCCGCACACTGAGGTCCGTGGTTCGATGCCTGGTACAGGTGGAAATATTGAGGCTTGTTTCCTTAAGACATCTGCTGTCCCTGTTCATCTAGCAGTAACTAGGTACCCGAGTGTTAGCTGACTGGTGGGAGTTGCATCCTAGGGGAAAAAATTAACTTAATTTGCCCAAAATGCTCAGCATAACTAGGGATTTTCTATACAGTATGTCACTGATATCAGCTAGGACTGTATAAGTTGTATTTTGTACATGCAAAAAATAATTAATAATAATAATAATAATAATAATAATAATAATAATAATATTATTATTATTATTATTATAGCTCCATTTCCGGGGCGGACAACGTCATAAAATCCTATTTTGTTCCCTGCTTAAAGTCTCCTTGAATTGCCGCCCTAATGTTAACCCGCGGCTTAAGAAGCACACTACGAAAATATAATCATAAAGAAGCAAGTAAACCTTTTAAACATACATGAATTAACTTATAAAACCTTAAATGTCTTCAAGGGGAAGTTTGACAACTTATTCAAGCAGTTTCTTGGTCAGCTGGCTTGTGGTGTCTACGTCGAACTGCGTGCCATGAACACGAGCAGCCTAAATGACCAGGAGGCCAGGTCTGGGAACGGGTCGCAGAAGCCATGATCGCTAAAACCATTACACAAACACCTATCACGTTCACTGGTAATAACAAAACTGCTGCTAAATTGTTATAATCATAACCACGATTTTTACAGAGGTGGACCAGTAAGCCAGCAGAGGGTCTTGGTCAGATGACCAAAAGCTCCAGCTGTGGGTCATTATATTAATAAGACCCGCGTCAGGAAACACTTGTCCTGTTTCCTGACAAACATTATACCTACCTACCTGTAACGTTCCCAAGGTCACACGAAATGACGGCCATGACAGTACCAGTGCACCTCTGTATTTTAAGATATTTCTGCTGCTTTTGTTGCAGTCGTTGCTGTTGATCTTACTGCTGTACGGACTGCCATACCTGTAACCTGCTTCAAGGATTATCTTACCCTCGCAGCTAAGCCTCAGACCAGGTTTCCCTGTTGACCGTTTGGTCGGTTATGCTGTTTGTGATGTTGGCCAGTAGGCTTACTGAGCCATCAACCCGACTGGTCAGGAATTTGCAAGTGTGATCCATTTTCCTCTTGAGAACTTCTCCCTTCTACCTGTTAATCTTGATGTTATAGCAGCAGCAGCTGTTACTGCTGCTGCTGCTGCTCTAGAAGCAGCGTGTTGTTGAAGCAGTGCGTTGTTGCTGCTGCCGCTAACCCTGTCACCAGTTTTAGAGACCAAAGTATTTTCATGGTTAATACCTGGGTCGCAGCCTTAATAACCCTCCTTCGGTGTGTAGACCTAAAAGCTACCCACAGTCCATTCTCCCAATCAAAATCACTATATTATCTTAACGCTAAATGTGTTACTATGATACTGGAATGATAACACCACAAGACTGCACCAAGGCTCGCTAGGTCGCCTCTCCGTGTCCTGATTGATAAAACATATATGCAACAGTTAGGGTATCTTGATTCCGAGACGTTTCGCCTACACAGTAGGCTTCTTCAGTAGAGAACAGAAGAGTGAGCAGAAGCAATGGAGATATAAACGCGATGTCATCAGTCTTTTACCTTCGAAGACGTAGTTATGAGGTGGTCAGTCCCTCAGCCTGGCTAAGGGACTGACAACGTGTCCTGATCACACTCGAAAACATTTTTATCGCCTTTATGTATCACTACATGTTATGGTATGATATGTTTTGTTTTATTAGATTTTGGTTATAGAAAACAATTTAACCTAATTAACCTAAATAGCCAGGTATCGTTGACAAATATGATAGAATAGTATGGCAGGTATTGTCGACAAGTATTGCAGTGCAGAATGACAGGTATTGTCGACAAGATAGTCTCTTGTCACGTCTACAACTACAGAACCTTGACAAAGCTCATTCTAGGTAAAAGCGTGGGTTGCACCTGCTACTCTTAACATACTTTTGGTCAACGTTTCTAGCCACGGCTAACCGAAAGTTACTAACGTGTTAGAAGAGTAAATAAGAGGGTAATAGCAATGGGAAAACTAGTTATCGATATAGGAACAATAACAAGGAAGTAGCACATTGGAACACTGCACAGCTGCCAACTCAATACCACTGAGGTAAAAATAGATCTGCTGAAAAGAATTGCTGCCAGAGAGAGAGAGGAGAGAGAAAGAGAGAGAGAGAGAGAGAGAGAGAGAGAGAGAGAGAGAGAGAGAGAGAGAGAGAGAGAGAGAGAGAGAGAGAGAGAGAGAGAGAGAGAGAGAGAGTGAGTTTAGCTGGGACTCGACCCATACAACCACAAAATAGATAAGATATATTGCACATAGGTAAGCGCGCACATGCACGCACACACGCACGCACGCACACGCACACACGCACGCATGCACGCACACGCACACACACACAAGCTACGAACACCACAATTCAAAACTTCATCAAACAAATTCTAGAGCAAAATACAAAAAAAAAATCGCTATGTTTCATTAGTGTAGCGCTATTTTTAGCAAGGGAGTAGACTAGCGTCACGATGATGATAATGATGATGGTGGAGCAAGCCTTGCAATAATGTCGCCCGAGAAGCCTGCCTATTTATCAACGCAACTTGTCGTAATAATTGCAAGTGACGGGACAGTTACGACGCCCACACTAAAAATGGGGGGAAGGGATGGAGGAGGGGGGAGAGTAATAGAGGGGGAAGGCAACAGATGGGGAAGGGGGTGGGGGTGGTATCGACAATTCATAACGCCTCTATTATTAGCGTAGAGGTGATGCCCATGGCCGGGAGGGTCACCCACACTGCTCAGGTTCTTATGCCTGTTAACAGATGGCGCCTGTAACACACACATAACGTAACCAGATATCTGCTGAGACATGCGCTCTGAAGGAGAGGTGGGAGTATGTTGCAGTTTTTGAACCGTAGTGTAGGCACGCCTCTGGCAAGACAGTGATGGAGTGAGTGATGATGAAAGCGCTTCTTCTTCTTTTTCGGGTCACCCTACCTCGGTGGGAAACGGCCGATGTGTTAAAACAAAAAAAGACATGCAACACCTAGGTATCTGTACCTTGGTTATAGATAGTATGGTGATACCCACTAACTGTGCAAGACACTTGGGTATAGTTCAGGGCATTTACTGAAAGAAACGTCCAAACGTCTCCTCACAAGCGGCTGATAAAGTGGCTTGTGGTGAAACGTTTCTTTTAATAAATTTTCTGTAATGTACACAGGTGCCTTTTTCACACTGAAAAAAAAGCCTCTGTGCAGGAGAAACGTCTCTCTAATAAAGATACCCAGGTGTTTCACACGTATTTTATCCAGCTGTCGACAGTATAGCTTCATTTAATTGGCAAGGTCCCTGGCCGAGTCTTGAATCACGTGACCCCTCGCACATAAGTTGCCCCTTACATGCCTCTCTGTCTCACTCTCACGACCGGCCTAGCTTCTCCCTACGAGCCCCGTGAGGGCGGGGACTGTGGCTAGGCCTGGGGACAGTTGGTCCCACAGATGAGGGGATACTTGTACCTCCTCCCATGGGAGACTTAGATCTCGAGACACTCCCCAGATAGGGAGCCAAGGCCGGGTCACCACTACTTGGAAAAGACTCGGGCCGGGAGAATACCGGCAAATAAAAAAAAAAAAAAAAAACTCTCACGACCAAGCCAGAGACAGGCAGACTGGACCCGCCACCAGTAACAATATAAGGCCTCCAACATTTCAACAGTTGTTCCCTTGCTACCATCACTTATATCAAACCCTAACACGCCTATCTACCTACCTGGATTCTACGTGTACAGTATTCCGGGGACCAACGCCCCCGCGGCCCGGTCCACGACCAGGCCTCCCGGTGGATAAGGGCCTGATCAACCAGGCTGTTACTGCTGGCCGCACGTAGTCTAACGTACGAACCACAGCCCGGCTAATCCGACACCGACTTTAAGTATCTGTCCAGCTTCCTCTTGAAGGCGGCCAGGGGTCTATTGGTAATTTCCCTTATGCATGGTGAGAGGCTGTTGAATAGTCTTAGGCCCCAGACACTTATGATGTTTTCTCTTAGTGTACCAATGGCGCCCCT